GAAGCTTTGCATGTATCCTGCATAGTCATTGGAAAAGGCACTTCTGCAAATTGCGATAGTCTAAAAGTCTGTAGGAAGGTTGCAGGGAAGGTTTTCTAATCTTTTTCTTCCAGCTTAGCTTGTAAATACTTCCAAAGTTCTGCTACAGGTGCTCCATGTCTCCATTAGTTTAGCTGTAGGGTACTGGTGACCCTTACCTTAAAGTGTTTTTTTTTTCTCTTAGATGAGTTTCCTAATGTAAAGAAGTAAATCCAGTTTGGGGTACCGACTCCAGTGAAATTTCTTATTCACTGAAAACAGGACATTGAGAAACAATGGCAGCAGTAATTAAGACAGAGTAGGAATGAGTAGCAGCCAATATCCCATCCCAGCATTCCCAGCATCCCTGCCCTGTGTTATGTAAATCAGGTGATCTGGGTGTTTATTTGGGCAATTCTCACTCCTCTTGCTCATGATAACCTCAGTTGTGTTGTGTCATCAGCAGGCTGGGACCTATAAGCAATTTAATCTCACAGGCTTAAAAAATAAAAGTCGCTATTTTTCTCAAGTCTGATCTCAAGCTATTACTTCTTTTCAAGAGATAAATGCTTCCTCTCACCTTTTATTAGGGCTGGTTGGCACAGTGTCTGTCTGAGAGGAACTTGAGCATCCATGAAGCATTGCTGTTAATATTCTGCACTGCAAAAACAGATGTAGATAAACTTTGCATACCATAATGTAAGACCTGGGGAAGAAGCTCATGTTTATACATTTCTAAAGGGAAAAGCACATTTTGTATTTTTGTGTTTTGTCATATGGCCTGAGTCAGATTTCATCTCTGTTGGGAAAATTAAACATTCAAGTGACTTTGACAAAGTCTGTGATGTGTTTAAACTGTAAATTAAAATATTTAAAATTTCTTGTACTCAATATGACTATGTATGTAGGGAGATAAAAACACTGATTGTGTCTTTCTAGAGATTATAGGGCAGTCTGCATAATTACAATACTTAAATAGCAGAGAGTTAAAATTCTACAGCTCATCACTATTAAAAGAAAAATAGAAGTCAGTGTTACAGACCACTCGGGACTGACTGACTCGCTGTCAGTCAGATGGTAGTTAAAAAGTGGAAGTTCACTGTGATCCAAGATCAGAGTTGTGCAGTCACACACAGGCACTAGTGATAAAAACAAATAGATGATGCAAGGGGCCATCACCCTTTTTTCTCTCTTCTCTTAACATATCAATGTTTTTTGCAGAATTTCTGTGCATTCTGCACAATCTCCAGAGGAGGTCTTGTTTAGGGGGACCAAAAGACCCTGGATCTCCTCATTCCATTTTCTGTTTTTTTTTAATTTTTATTTTCAAATTCTAATATGGAAAAATAATAGTAATGGAAGTTAATATAATGGGCTGAGAATGGCAGTTCAGGAACTGCTTCATGAACGGTATGGGATCCACTGAAACAGCTCCAAGATGAACTCCTGCACGTGTGAGTTATGGTAACTGAGCATCAAAGGGCGGCTGGGGCTGTTCCCGAAAGCACTTCACTTACTGGGCCCTAATAGATTCCAATAATCACAGGATGTCTAAGGAGTTGGTTTAGAAGCAAAGGAAAGATTGGAAATACTGTGAGGGTTGAGGCTAAAATAGGTACAGTATAAAATAAAGCAGAGAGCCTTTCCTGAAGGAAACTGCTTGGATCGGGATGTTTGCCTGTGGCAGTCCTCTGTCCAGTCTTCTATTAGGGACTAGAATCAGATTAAGAGCACATCCCTTAAGTGATCTTCAGTGCCTTTCAGCCTTGTCTTTGCAGCTTCCTGCAAGTTCCCACAGATCTATTATGTCTCATAGTTAGGCATCCCTTGCCCCAGAAGTCTGCACTTCTGGGGTTGGTATTCTTTCCTTAATACTGCTCTGGGGGAGAGAAGGGATTCAGAAGGCAGATAGAAAAGGAAGATTTTTTATTTCAAAGCAGGTATGAGATGGGTGGGAACGGTGGTCCCCTGACAGCAGATTCATCTCACTATGGCTGTATGTTCTTGCATTCATTCACACTGCTCTCATGTTTCAGTGTCTTTAATAAATATTTCCTAGTAGATATGAATCTAAGAAGTTGAAGCTCAATCGTTAAAATAAAGGATACGTGGGAAATTGAGCAGCCTTTTAATAATGCAAAATATCTATTGGGGACCACAGGCCAAAGTCTGATTCGCTGCATCGCATCATGGTAACCAGACCACAGTGTTAGTCCTCATTTAATGAGGAGCCTGGCTGCTCTGCCATTCCAGCCTGTGGATTTCTTACAAAAAGGTGAGAGGATAGGGTGGTGTAGCAGAAATGGTAAGTGACTGAGCACCTGGTGGGAAGGCAGGGCCAACCCAGGGGAACCCAGGTGTATGCAATGCACAGAGTGACCAGAAGGGGTGGGACCAGGATCCATCCCTTCCCAGACCTCATTTAAGGGTTGGCAGTGGAGGCAAGGGGATCTTGCTGGTGATCCCTGTATGCTTGAGGCCTTCCAAGCAGCTTTTTCCTTTTGTTTGTGTCCACAACTGCTGCATTTGGCTTATTCTCAGTTGCTGCAGCCTAGGACTTTGTCATTCCACTATTATTGCTTTATATTTTTATAATGTGCTTTCCATCATGTCATAGCATTACAGGTAGGCAAATAGATCCCACATTACAGCTTTATTGAGACTGTTACCACAAAGTAAGACCAAATTTCTCCTTTGGTACCTTGACCTGCCACAAAACAGAACTACAGGCTGTACTCTGCACAGATAGCTCTGGGAATGTACTGGTTGGGTGTTATTTGACATGGTTGGGAGAGAGTGAGTTACTGCAACAGAATCCTTTGAGTTGCAGAGGGAAACTTGACCTGTCTTTGGATATGAAATATTCATGCTGTTTAGATAATACTTTGAAATGTTGGATTTTTTTATATATGCTTGTTACACTGGCAGCTGACCTTTGTATGATTTTACTTAGAATCCAAGTGCTAGCTGCTTTGGTGAGCTCTCAGTATCACATCTGCTCACCCATTCAAAATTGTTATCAAAAGACTGCTTTAAATAGATTTGTTTCAGGGATGGTATGAAATGAAAATAAGCACATACTTTGTTTAGATCCTTGTTATGGTTTTTAATAAAGTCAAAGCAACCTTATGTTTTCCTGGTTGCAGGCAGAGGAAAGTGCTCTTTTATTTCCCCTGCTTATCTGCTTGCTGCACAAAGAGCCTTTCCCATGGGGTGAACTCCTAGAGGTTACAACAAAGCTGGCTTCTGTTCCTGGGTTGTTTTTAGTATGGTTGAGCATACTAAAAGCACGCATTCTTCAGGGGAGCTGATAAGCTGAACAAGTGGTTTTCCTCTTTTCCAGATGAAGATAAGAAATTATCATTGCCAAATTACTAACTTGTTTGTTGCTCTTTTAGTGTTTACTGTTGTAAACCTTCATCTTGTGCAAAAGGTAGCGGTGAGCAGTATAGCTGAGGTTATTCTCGTCAATAACCAGTTGCTGATCTAACTGACACTTGGTTTATACTTTTTCAATTGCTACCTGGAAGATTCCATCACGGAGATCTTCAGAAAGCAGATTAGCTACCCAATAACGTCTTATTTCTAGGAATACTGTGGAGCAGAACTAAAATCTTGCTGAAATCTTGCTTGTTGAGATCCCATGCAAGTTGTGTATGTATACTGTGTCAGGTTAATAAAGCATATTTATGGGAAGAAGCACACATGCATTTATCAGTTCCTTAAGCACTGCCCCTGGATTCATGAACTTATTCAGGTGTGCAGGTGGTATTCGTAACATTTCAGCATTGTACTGGATGCTTTCATCTCCTTTAGTACAATATTTGCTATCAATTACAAAAGAGTCAAAAGGCCAAAATTTTGTCATTCAACGATTCACAAATCTGCTGACCTTGTGACCTTCGAGGCCCATTACCAAAAACTTAGTCTGTCTAAGAAGGGAAACAGAATGTTGAACAGGGTTTGGTATGCTGGTTTTTGGATAAGCAAAGAGTTTTCTGTCATTTGCTATTATTTAGGGCAGTATCCTAAAAGAGGACATTGGGGTTTGCCAATTTCCCGTTCTGCTTACCAGCTAAAATGCATGGGTTAGTCTGTCTTCATCAGAAGACGTCTGATGAATTGGATTGGATTTGCATCAATTTAGTTTTACTTTCATTACTTTTCTCTGATTTACTTATTGGATTCCGTATCTTTAGAAATTTTTATTACTCTCTCATTCAAGCTAAAAAATAGCTAATTTTTCTCTTCCAAATGAGTTGCTTGAAGCAAAGTACCTGTGAATACATGGGTGTTTTAATTCACTTACTAAATGTACACAGACAAAATTTACAAGCAGCCTTTTTTCCATTTTTTAAGTGTCTGCTGACTGTTGCATAAGCTAAATTATTTACAGTACGGTGCCTCACAAAAGAGGAGCAGATTTAGGTTATTTACTTGCCTGATAAGAAAAGGGGATTGAAGTTGCTGCGATATGCTGCTTTGTTAATTTTATATTTGTTCCCCAGTGTGTAAAATCTTTTTAAAGAACTAACATGAGTACTGGCAGACTCTTTTGAAATAGCATGGAAGTGCGAAGATTAAACAAAACATGAAACAGTCTTAAAAATATAAGTCAGCAAGTGCTTGATAAAAATAAAAAATGCTCAACAATAGCAAACCTTTAGGATGCTTAATTTATTTGCTCTCTGTTTGAGAGTGGCCTCTGCACTCCATCTGGGAGTAGTTCTGCGAGTTGTGTGTGTTTTGAATGATACCAAGCTGGGGGTATTGAAACAGTGTGTTTGCACAGTATAATGAAAGCCATCGAAAATGGTCATGCTGAAGATCTCCCTTTAATGAGGAGATTAAAATCCACGCTGAGGTTGAAGAATGGAATTTGCAGCTGTGTCACTCGACAAGATCTTTTACCTGAGGTGATTTGGTCCTTGCTGTTTGTGGGTGTATGAGGCATTCACTAGTGGCTCTCTCTGCCCACACAGGTGCCACGGACCCATCTGACACCACGGCTCCCATCATCGTCATCCCTCCGCAGAACACGAGCATTGTAGCAGGGAGCAGCGAAGTCACATTGGAATGTGTAGCCAGTGCAAGGTATTGTAAAAGCAGAGGGGTCGTCAGCAGCTGATTGTAATGCCCTTTCCTTTGCTGGGAAGAACATAGCATGTTCTTTACATTCTTTATTAGTGAAGCAGACTGCAGCGTGTCCCTTGCTCTTCAAAGTAACCTTAGGAATAATCTTATTTGCCCAACATTACTGAATTAAACTTTGATTTTTTTTTTCTTGGCAAAATAAGAATGTAGGCAGAGATACTTTCCCACCTGTGGCTTACCCAGTAAAGACAAGAATAGTGTTGTGCCATCAGCAAACACTCTTACAGAAATCATTATGTTTCAGTTAAGTAATATTTCAGTTATATTGCATATTGGCATGGAAGGTGATACCGTTTAAATCAACAGACTGTGCTTCCTAGTAAATAAATTAGGAAAGATCTCTTATGGAGTAATTTATTACAGATGTTCTTAGTTTACAGTGATTATTGCTCAACTGTTCATAATGCACCGTAACATGGAGTTCACAGCATTTGTTTTGTGCACGTGGCTGTTTCCACTGCATTCTGAAGGGAGCGAATAGTTGAGTCTCCAGCTGATAGGAGGACCAACTGATTTACATTCTCCTCTGAGGGCAGAGATGTTCTTGATATGGTTAATATTTTCCTGGTAATTGAGTTATAATGAAAGCACTTCCCATGCAGCTGATTCACATAACAATATTTACTTCTTTTGCTTAGAGAAATGAAATTATTAGTACTTAACTTCTATTGCTGTATCAATTAGCTGTACTTGCATAACGCCACTTGAGTAGTCTGTAGTTGAAGTGTACAAGTTATGTATGCATTTACTTCTCAATAGCCAATGTCGGAGCTTTAAAATCCGTGTATAACTGCAGACAAGATTATTCTGTAATGTTTTATTGTATTTTTTTTAATCCCGGTAGACCTGTTGAGAGACTAAGCATAATGTGGAAGAGAAATGGAATAAAAATCACCAGTGGAATTAGCAGTTTTGGGAGACGCCTCACAATCACCAACCCAACCTCTGCTGATGTTGGGATGTACTTCTGCGAAGCAGAACTGAGGGACAGCACAGAGGAACCAGCGAGAGCCAAAGCCTTCATTTCTCTAATGGGTAATTCTCAAGGCAGTGTGTTTTTTAGTAAAACAGGCTCTGGGCTGAGGTATAGTAGGAAATAAAATTGGTATTTTAATATTTCACTGACCTTACATTTGAACCTTTCTTCAGAGAACGGAACAAAAAAGGTAGAAGGGGGTTGTCTTCTAAATTAATTCAGCTGTTCCTCGCCATGAATATAAATTCATCAAATAGGTATTTTTTGAATCCCTTGTGAAACTATACGTTTAATCAGAAGTTGGGGGAGCACAGCAGTAAAATCCTTATTGGGCAGCTTCCACATCTCAGCTTTTAGCTGCATTAAATCCTGATTAACTCCCAGCTTGCTTACATCTAGTTTTAATATGTAAAGTGCCTGTATTTCTGAAAGAAGCCTTTCAGGAGCACTGCTATGCATCGATTGTCATGAGAGGCAGCCAAGGGGCCAAGGACCTTCCTGGGCACACAGGCAGGCAGACATCTTTACTGAGGTGACAAAAAGGAGAGGGAAATAGCACTAAAATCAATGTTGCGTGCTGGACTTCCAACTCCAAGAGAAGCTTTGGGCTTATTTTTATGAGGACATTTAGCCTGCTTTTGATGGAGGGATGGACCTGTTCCCACCAGCACCTCTCTGCTAGAATTTTGCTGAAGCAGAATTCATTTGAAAATGTAGTTATCGTGCACGTCATGTTCTGACACAGCAGTACAAATGAGCACACTGGGCACAGTGTAGAGTTTTGTTTAAGATTTTTAGGATAAAGGAGACGTTTTGGAACAGTAAGCCAGAGCTGATTGTGTCAAGTCTGGCTTTTATCTAATAGTCACAGAAGCAACTGTGCTTGCGTCCTGGACAGGTTATTGCTCTGGCAGTGACACAGGTGTCGGTGTTGATCAGAATTCATGCCCATGCATTTCTGTAGAGCATTGCAGAGAGAATTCAGCACGCGATTCTGTACTCTCCTTCCAACTTCAGAAAATACAATTTTAAAGACTCTGCTGTGTGGTCTGTTTTCTACTAAAGCAATCTGAAGTAGTTTATGCTTAATGAGAAAACAGCTCTTCCCTCTGCAAAGCTGTGCTCTGGGTTCATTTGTAGCACTGAGTCTCTGTTGTATTTATCACCTACTGGGTGAAGTTTGGTTCCAGTCCTTTTTCTTTATACTCTGTTTTTAGAATTATTGCTTTGCAGCTTCCCTGCCCCTTAAGGAGCAGAGACAGATTTTACTGACTTATGGTTTTGGTTTAAACTCTTCTATATTCATAAGATTTTATTGTAACTAGTTTAATTTTGCTGCTGTGGTGTCAGATCCAGCCTAATGTAGTACTTAAAGCAGCCTCTCGGTTAAGGTAGAAGATTCTTAAATACAGTTACAATAAAAGCAAGCAGCAATCATTGGGGAATCATATTAAAATAGAAACACTGCCTTTATTTAGTAGCTTATCTGCTCTCTTATTTTATAGATGTTTTATTTATTTCTTATCCAATTTTAGGGGGCTGTCAGGGAATGAAGTTATGAAAAGGCCTGTAGATAAGAACAAGCAGATGAAAGAAAGCAGAAACAAATTGGTTACCCATTACTTTTATTTCCTTCTGATGGAACAAGACACTTCAGTTGCAGGTGTTTACTCAGTGTGTCAGCAAAGCCTAGAAGATTTCTTTATTTATGAGTTTCTTCCTAGTGCTGGGGAATGGATCTCTAATTCTAAACAGAAAGCCAAATTAAAGGATTAATAGTTAATGCATAACTTATATTCAGCCTTAGAGTTCCTGAATGGATCCAGCCATTGTTTAATTAATCAAGAGATGGATTCTAGGGGCCATACAGGCAGGATTCAAACCTAAGTATTTTTGTAGTTATCCATCACAGCCTGTTGGAGCAGTACTCATAGAGGCTCAGGAATGCTCATTCATTTGCGTACATAACATATTTACAGAGTGTGCACATGAACAGTGACCTGATAATGAGCTGCACTTCTTTGTAGAATAATACAGCACGGACTAAATAAGGGGTCTTGACTATTGGAAAAATTGAAATTGTGGTGATAGAAGAGGTTTGTTTTCGAAATGATTCAGAAAAGTCAAATAGAGACTCTCAGTAGGTGGTAATAAGAGCTTTGGTGGATCAGTAGAACAAAAAAGTTTTGTTATTAACAGGTAGAATAGAGTCGGCAATAAAAAGATATCACAGATATTGATAATGCTGTAGAGTAGGACTGCATGAGAAAGGAAGACAGCCTGTGGGTCACACTGCAGTTCCCTCTGGATGTGGCAGGAAGCCTTCTGACATCTTCATATTGTTCCAGCGAAGATAAACAGAGGTGGTTCCAAACTCTGGTTTTATTAGCTGCAGTTGTTATAAATTTTTAAAGGGTAGCATGTTCCTCAGTTGGCAGAGTAACAGTTTGGGGAAGATTTGTTGCAGATTAGATAAGAGCGCATTTGTTTTATCGCCAACAGTTTGAAGATTAAGGAATTTAAGGAATCAACTCGTGAGCAAACCAATTTGAAGACTGAACTAATCTTAAATTCTTTTGCTGCAGTTCTGCAAATTCCATCGTTGACAAATTGCAATCACCATTTTTAAATGGTTCTTCTATGGGAAAGTAATGTATATTATGAGCTCAGAAGAACACAAAAAACCATACTGCTCTTCAAGTCAGATGCAGTCAGAAAGTAAAATCCCACAAGGGGATTTGGGGGATGTCCAGCTTTGTCTGTGATGTTCCTGGGAAGTTCCCATTCCCTCAGTTCTGCCAGCAGATGTGTTCCCTGGGTTGTTACAGGAGTTTAGAATGCAGAGAGAGCACCTGGCAGCAGTGGAGAGTTGGTCATGCCATGTAGTTTCCCAGATGTAATAATGGCATCTTTCAAAAAGGAGTTTTTCCTGCCACAGGAATTTTTCCTGTAGCTGAGAGCATCCAAAGCACAAAGCAAGAAACTAGCAGGGCCTTTTCATCTGTTTCTGTTTTAACTTTGTATTCATGCAAAGAGAAATCCTGCTTCAAGGACTCTGTTACAGCCAGGTGTTCCAGCACAGGCAGCCTGCCCTGTTGTCTGGAGGTACAGACTTGGTTACCTACAAGGCACTCGCAACTTTCCAGTTCCACTTCTTTACAGGATATTCACCAAATAAATTAGTTTATGCTAATGTTAGAGAAAGGCTTCCATGTTTAGGGCTCAATTTTCCTCTTAAATATGCAGGCTTGAATTTGAGTGGCGCAGGATTTTCAGCTCTGGAGGAGCCCCTGGGGCTTTCTCTGTTCTTTCTGACTTTCATGTATGTATCTAGCATTAGGTCACACATCTCCAATGCAGCTTGAAGGGTATGTAATGGATGCTGACTGCTATCTTTTGAATGTTAAAATCAGTGACCATGTAACTCTGCGTGAGGGAAGTTAGAACAGTATCACATTTTGCAGACTCCCAGGGGCTTTGCAGAGCAGCCATCTTTCCACTGATGTCTGTAGTGGGGAGGAGGATGAGGAGGGGTGGGGGGGAACAGCAACAAAAAAAGCACCCTTAAACCTTCAACAACTATTAAAAGCATGTATTTATATTCAAATATTCATTTTCCCTTTTGGCTGTACTTGACCTTTTAGTTAAGATCACTCAAACACCAATACAATGTCTGAACATTGTAGTATCTGTTTCTTTCAGTCTGAGATGTGACCCCTCTCATTGCGTAGGACATTGCACTGCCACCAGTGTAATAGGTCCTTTCCTCTTCTAACTATTGTGGTTCTATAATTTTAATCAAATGTTTGACCTGATACCAACAGGCTACTGTCATTCCTAGAAATTGCTGTGTCTTGGGGCCTGTGTCTGGCATGTTATATAGTTTGGAAGATGTCGTAATTTCACCACACACATTAAATTTCGGCACTTGATCATTGCCTGCAACAGTAAATGTTCAAATCTGCACTATGTGATTCAAACCAAGCTTTATAAATATGTAATTGAGTCATATATACAGATGACCAAAATACCCTTTCAGAATGCCATCTGACCCTTCCAAATACTGCTGCAATTTTATGGCCTCTTTCTGAAAGTTGTTCATCAGATGCCAAATTCAGACACTGCTAGCTTGTGTTGGCCTGCAGCCCTTCAGACACACTCCTGGTGTGCAGATCATACATCTGACCCATTGAAAATATCAGGGGGCTTGATTTTCGTGCTCTGTGTCCTGTAACGGGAACACTTTTACCTTAATTTCTTCCACAGTCAGTGTTCAGTTGAAGCCACAGACCCTCACTTCCCAATAGAGAATGCCAGCACATTGGAGCCTGCAAAGGGCCTTTTGAGCATGCATGGTGCTCCCATATGGGGCATATATGTGGGTGAAGAGCACAGCTTGCATGGAGGCCACTGCTCCATTTTGCTCAAAGCCCTGAGAGTATGCCTGCACCAGTACTGCTGTGATTCTGTCTTACCAAGACAAATTTTCCACGTATGTTAGACTTAGGATGTTGCAGCACTGTTGTCCATAGGTATTCTAGGTCTTCCAGAATTTCCTTACAGATTAGTACTGTCTTGCTGTCCAGCTTATCTCTTATTCCGGGCAGCTTCAGTTTACTGAGATTCAGTACATTGTGAAGCTGCTTCTTGGAAGCAATTTTGTGTCTGCGCTCATCACCGTAAAATAACATCTGACTACCCTTTGTACAGTTCTTGCCTTAGTCTTCACCCCTCTTTTACCAATTTTAGCATTTGGTCAAGCTTCCAGCAGTTGGAATGGCTGGGAGAGTTGAGTTCAGTAGCACAGTTCCACTGTAAGGGAAAACCTGGATCTGGTCTTGAAGAAGACTGGAAGTTACATCTACTGGCAGACCTGCACTCTGAAAGTCCTCTGGGAATTGTCTGTGGCCTTTTGATTGCATTTTTCTGCTGCTCCAGCCTTTCTTCTGCCTTGTTTGCTTCGATTTCCTCCTGCTTCTTCCAAAAAAAGCTGATGTAAACCTTCCTTTTATAACATTACAGTCTTGTTTGCTAAGTGTCAGTTTGCAGTGGCTTGAGGTTCTTTGTCAGGCAATTCATTGCTTGACAAGCTCAAGAAAGTCTGTCTTAATACAGTAAGTTTCTCTGAAGGTAGCATAAGAGCTGGAATGGGATTTTGAAGAAGGAGATTGTAAGATAAGATTTTGGGAGAGACGTTGGGAAAATAGGTTGTGTAAATATGCCAAGGACCTGTGCAACAGTAGTTCCTGAGCAGTGGTCCTGGAGTTACGAGTGTCTTTGAGGTCACATTAAGTTGCTTTGCAGCTGAACTGCAGGCCCATGCTGGAGATAAATCTTCAAATTTATTACCAGTGCATGAATATATTGCTGATCTAGGAGAAAGTTTGTGAGCTGGCAGCTGAAGGTTGCCAAGTTTGAAAACTGACCTGTTAAGATCAGGGTGCCATATAGGAAGGGAAGACGTGAGAGGTGCATTCACTAACTCCCTAAAAGGAGCAAAACTGTGGCAGAGGAGGCATCTGTAGAAACCCAGAGCTAGAAGTGAACGTCCAGGTGTTAGGGGTATAGGTCTGGATGCTGTTTTACTTCTTTGGATGCTGGTTTGGCTATCTGTCCCCCCTGTCTCCCCTCACAATCAGATTAAGTTGACGTAGAAGGAAATATTCAAGTTTTATTTTAAAAGAGAGAGACAGATGGAATTGTGTATCTGTGTATTCACATGCACAGACAAGTAAAGAGAAAAGCTTGGAGATCAAAAAGATAAAATTCCTAAACATGGAATTTGAGGAGAACATCAGACAAGGCTTGAAGGATGGAGTGGGATGGAGGAGAATACTGAGAGTTGGAATGCACTAAGATGCATTGCAGAGGGCTCAGCAGTGTGGATGATCAAACATGTCAAACTGCATGCCATCAGTGAATTTCAATTAAACGTTCGGCTTTCCAATTTGTTGTTTGGATTAATGCATGAGATCATATGCAATAAATCACTACTTATTATGTATGTTTATTAATAGCTTTATATTTAGGCAGTGAGGATCAATAATGTTAACACATGTATATTATTAGAATACCATAAATCATGCAGCTCATTTTATTGGTTTTCCTGGATAAATGAATATTCAGGCTATTTTGCAACCTCACCTCCTCCCTGTAAGATTTTGAAAACGTATTGATTGACTTTATTTGGAATGAATACAGAGCTGTAATATCCACTGGTGCCCAAAAGAGGCCCTGATTCTGTACACTCAAGCAAGTATTTTATTGCAGTTAGCGGGAAGGAGTGCATTGCAGTGCTGGTGTTAATGATGTGTACCTACCTGCTGCTGTTCTGCTCTGCTGGATGAGGGTGGCAACACATGCTATGCAGGTAGCAGGAGAAATAGGGGAGATCTATGGGATAAATTAATACAGTTTTGTTTTAATTTACCAAAATAGTGATTTTCTATCAGTAACACAATCTGCACATATGACTGGGGAATAGATTTGAGAGAAGATCAGCTCAGATTCGTTGTCACTTGCTGCCTTCTTTCAAACATCCTTGAATTCCTTAAATTGAAAATACAATATCATCTTCTTACATGCTACTTTTATTGTCTTTTCTGTGTTACTGAACACTTAGCAGTGAGTTTGTCTATGCTACAATAGAACTCTAGCTATAATCAAATAAAATGATTCTAAAAACAGTACTCAGATGATAATTACATCAAGTAGACTATGACAGTTTTTAGTTACCATGATTATTACTGCAACCTTAATGCCTATGGGACTTTGACAAGATACTCTTCAATTTTATGCTGCAGAGAAGAAAGAGTAACATGACGGGATACTGTACCATTTCAGGAATCTTGTCTTTGTTTAATTAAATGTCTAATATCTTTCCTTAAGTCCTGATAATAAAGTGTGGACTTTTATGACTATTGCTATAACTTCAATTAAAGCATTAAATCTGTTTGCTTTCAAGAAATAAAACAGTTGAGCAGAATTTTTTTAATTATACAGAGCTTATCCTGTGATGTTGGCTCTCTGACATGCCATGACACATTATTTGATATGCTTCATGCCTTCATGAGGTGGAATTCAGTTTAGATACTGAAGCAAACTATCCAATAAAATGGTATGTTGTAAATATAAACCTTTATAAACCTCTTGGGAAGGCCTTTCTGAACGAAGAATTAAAACGTTCCATGATTCAGACCTATAAAATGAAAAGCAGTCCCTGCTCTGAGTATTAATTTGCAGTGCAAAATGCTAAATCTTACCTAACATTGACTCGATGCTTTGGAATTCGTACTCAGCAAAGCGAGAATTTGTTGGCTTTTTTATGATGCTTTTACTACCAAAAAAAAAAATCCTCCAAGTAGAAGCTCAGACCAAATAGACAGTTCGTAATACACCATATTAAATAAAACGCGTGCAGACCCATCATATGAATGTCATTATGTCACCTTCTATTTTTCATTTTACTCTGGGTTTCTCTGCTTACTTTTGTTTGTTTCCTCTGTTCTGAAGAACCACCATATTTTACTGCGGAGCCTGAGAGCGTGATTTTGGCTGAAGTGGAGAAAGATGTGGACATCCTGTGCCAAGCAATGGGTGAGTGTGGACAAGTATTTGAACTTGAGTCAAAAATGCGTATATCCTGTACTGAGGAAAGCATCTGATATCTACTTTTCATGTCTTGAGGCCTGTGCATCATTGCCAGCTATTGCAGACCCAGGTATAAGGCATGTGGAGGGTGTTTGTCTTTGGAAAACGTGCCATAAGTTGCTGCATTACAAACTCTGGAGCCAATAGATTTGTTCAGGTAAAAGTATGTTTGTGGAACCAGTCGTTGCAATGCGAACAGTCAATATTTCAGCAATTCCTCTTCTCTACAAGTTATGGAACTTCTATAGTTTCTGTCAGTAGCTCTGACATTTAAGTGTAGATAAGAGTGCTGCAGGAGGAGTGGTACAGGTGGTTTTTAATTGGCTGGTGTTTTAATTACATCAAGGCCTTCAGATGTTAAAAATTCCACTTTAGACAAACTGCTGTTTAAGATTTAGTTCCAGAGAAATAGAAGCACGTCCCATTTTAGCACTCCAGAAAGACATCATAGTGTTGTGATTGGAGCCGGCTTTACTCTATCATTGAATTGCTGTGTGACTTTGGCAAGCAGCTTAACTTTTTGGTGTCTCAGTTTCCCTGATGCTGTGTTTTACAGGCAGTACACATAAAAATGCAGCCTTGAGCTTCTTAAGTAAAAAGTATACTATATATTTTTTTAAAAACCTGCACCCAGTTCTAACTGACAGCTTCTTTGGATGGGCTCCTTCTTCAGATCAGGGCCAAAAAATAAATTCTTGCATATCTATTTTATTTGCATCAGGATTTAAATGTTTATTTTTTTTGCTTTGCATAGGAAAGAATCAACACTGCTTTTCTGAAGGAAGCTTTGCAAACATGTTATCACAATAAGGAAGCGTGCATGTAAGGATGCTCCAGCTGATTTGGAATTTCAGAAGTCTTTGATGAGGTTTCTTATCAAAGGCACTTACAGAAAAGAAGCTATCAAGTTATAAGAGACAAGGTCTTGTTGTGAATTAATAGCTTTTTAAAGAGAACAAATGCTCGGTTCTCAAAGCTAGGGCCTAGAGTTCCCCAGGATTCGGGGCTGTTCAACATACAGAGTGAACAGTGAAAATGGAACTGTTTGGTGATTGTATAAAATTATTCAAAACAGCCAACATTAAAACTTAATGCAGGAGAATCGTGAAGTGTTTGGATGATTTGAGCTTACTGGACCAAGTAAGCTGGCAGATAACATTTTTGAGAGAAGTGAAATTAGCTCTTACTATGCTGAAAAGCTGTATCTTCTGCAAACATCAGTTCTGTGTCAAGCAGTGGATTGAAGTGCTGGGTGTTGGGAAGGTGGAAATAATGTTCTGTCATTGGGCTGCTCTTGCTTTTACTGCCTGAGCATCCGAGACAAGGCAATTTCAAAGGAAGGAGGAGTGACTAGATAGACCTTCATTCTGACCACATACAACCAACTTTATTTTTATAGTGTGTTATGACAAATAGATTAGCATTTTTGTATTGGAGGAGATTTTCCGTGTAGCAGGATTAAAAACAAGTGTTTTATTATTAGGGAAATTGAATGAAAAAACATTCGGAGATTTCTGAAAAATGCTTCAATCTCACACAGCTATTTGGGAAATCTCTGACACTCTCTGCTCACTGTCACTGGAAAAGCTTTCTGCTGTCTCAAATGTTCTTCATGAATTAACAAGAAAGAAGAAAAAATAATCCTGGAACATTAGAGAGAGAAGGTGTTGGCTTCTAAATTCTTCCTTCTACCGTAGGTCTTCCTTTGAGCACTTTAGCTTCTGAAGAGCTTAATTGGGAGCTCATACCTATTCTCAGTAGATGAGGTCTTATTGGAGGCATGGGCACCTGGCCTGGAACAAGTAACTTCTTTCTGCTGAACTCTACCCATACATGTCTGATTTGTTGGTCAGTGTGGTGCAGGAGCATGGAAACCTGTCTTCACACATATTTCTGTGCTGAGCATCTCTAGCCCAAACTTAAAAAGGGCTTGCTTGTATATAGAGTATTAAGCAGAGGCCTTTTGATCCGTATTACATAGACCTAGCAACCACCAGCATTTATAAAGAGGGTAAGTGAAGGTTGCTGTCTCTCTGCTCAAAGTGGGAGCTAGAATAAGGCGTGTAGGGAACTGCAGAGCTGCCCTACACCTTCCTTGCAAATAGGAAGATGGATTAGATTTCTCGCGGCCCCATCAGGTTCTGTGCACAAAGCCCATTTGCTCAGGCTTTGTGCACCTTGAATGTGTGAGAGACAGATTAATTTCACAGTATAAGCAGAGATTAACTGTAAATAAAATTGCAACCTGCACAGACTAGCTTTATACTTCACTGTAATGGAGTTTCAATGTATCAGACTGTGCAGTAACTGTGCTCTGCTGTATGTCTTCCAGCACTTGCTGATGCTGCATGCATTTTCAATGGCTTTTCTTTAAATGCTTTTTCTTATTTGCTTATAGGAAGTTTTGGGCCGCAGGCATTGAGGGGGTGTCTGGGGAGCGTGGTTAATTGGACTTTAGTTCTACCTGTTTAGACAAGGAGATGGAAGGATGTTTTTGGGACACCCCAGTTGCCCACTGGGAGCTAGAGAGAAGACTGTAAAAAATAAATAACAAAAATGACACAATGAATATTTAGAGTCTTTCATCCAGACTCTTAAATAAGTGAAATTTGGCAGAGAGACAAACATCTGTTTCACAGATGGGGAAACTGAGCCTTGGCTTGCATAAATCATTTGCCAAGGTTACAGAGAAAGTGGCACAGCCCAAACCAGTCTGTCTCCTTCCCCTCCTCCTCCATAGCACCAGATTGATTTGTCAGCCCATCTTTGGGAAAAAAGAAAAAAAAAAGAAAAAAAAATAGAGCACTGTGTACATGCTGAGAATTAAGCTTATTTTACTTAATATTATGTTATTTTAGGCCACTCTGTAATCTCTCAAACAATAAGGTAGGATAGGACGGATAATGCTTGGAAAGGCATCATCCAATGTGTATTTAAAGTCTTTTCTTCTTTTCGTATTTTTTTGTTCAGCAAAATTTGTAGAGAGGAGAAGCAGCAAAATTCCTTGGAGGGTGGCAGGGGGAAAAGTGGGGCGGTGGGAGAGTGGAGAAGAAAGGAGGCTGGTTTTAGCCATTTTTATAGCTAAAGAGGTAGCGAGGTGATAAAAGAAAATGTGTACAACTTGGAAGACAAATCTCTCTGGGAAGATCACTAAAGCCCAAATGAATGCTGCTGACAGGCGTCAGAACGCTTAGATAAGATCCTATTATTCAGACTCATAACTTTGAGTAGAGGAAGATATCCGTAACTGAAACGTAGAAAAATAGAGATGGTAATATTCAGTTTGTCAGCTGGGTTGGTGATAGGAAAGTGTATATCTCAGTGATTATGGGATTAGAAGGTTTACTAATACTGTTAGAAGAATGGGATTTATGGAATGACACCAGTGTTAAAGGTTTGAGTGTACTGAATGCGGGGCTGCATTATTTCCTCAGTGCCCATCGAGTGACGTGTGGGAAACTAGAGTTGCTATTATTTAAACTTGAAATCATTTCCAGGCTTCTCTGCATCAAGAGAACTATTCCATTTTGCATCATCTGTTTCTTCATTACTCAGTGATAATTTGTATTTGCCCGGGAGGATCTTCAAGAGATGAATAACACTCTCACCGAGAATTCTGAACAGGGAAGTTTGCGCTAATTCTGTACATTGGCTGCTGCAGGAAATGTAAATTATGTCAATGGAAGCTCCTACACTGCATCCATTCTATGTCAGACAATGCACTCTGCATCGTGGATTTCTTCCTGAGATGATTACCTCCCAGATTATGAGTGCATTTTATTATATCAGCGGAACTAAAGCATCAGAGGTGATTGTAGTAAATGATACATGTTTACAAAAACAGCAGCAGCAATTGAACACTCTTTTTTTTTTTTTTTTATATCATTCCTTACATTGTTTGTGTATGATTTCCAAACAGTTGATGTAGTTTTTGTCTATAGAAAGAGAATATATTGGAAGAA